GTTGTCTGGCAACCACTGATCTGTTGGTTGGTCTTGTTGCCCAGCCTCTCTATGCTACGTATTGGATGTCTGTGTTTCAAGAACATTGGAGCCGTTGTCGATACGCCAGGGACGCAGGCTACGTCACAAGCCATGTATTGATTTTAGTGTCTTTGATGACGATGACGGCCATAAGCGTGGACAGACTTCTCGCCCTGTTGTTGGGGCTGAGATACAAACAAATTGTAACTTTGAAGCGCACGTATATTATTGTAACTACCTTTTGGGTTTTTAACATTGTCGCCTCTTTATGTGGAATTTTTTATCCCAGTATAATCTATTTGTACAGCTACCTTGTTTCACCATTTTGCCTGGTAATATCCTTCGCATCGTACACAAAGATTTTTTGCACTCTCAGAAATCATCAAGCACAAGTAGGAGACCAACAACGGACGAGCCAAACAAATGCACTGAACATGGCACGATTCAGAAAGGCAGTAGACAGTGCACTGTGGGTGCAGTTAGCATTAGTTGTTTGTTACACGCCAATGTTTACAGTGGAAATTGTGGTCACTCGCACTAACAAATACTCATTACTCTTAATCGTCGTACGGAAAGTAGCAATTATTTTACTTTACTTTAATTCGACTTTGAACCCGTTCCTATACTGCTGGAAGATTAGTGAAGTTAGACAAGCAGTGAAGCGGACACTGAAAGAAGCTCTTTGCTAAAATAGGTCTTTCTTGAGTTGTTCTTCAGACTTTCAAAGCAGGCTTATGAAGTCATGATTATTATTAGAGAGCAGTCGTTAAATAAGTTATTGGATAAAACCAAATAAGTGGCTCAATGAAATAGTTGCGCAGGCTGTTCTCGATAGTCTTTATATCTCCGTGAATAATTTAACGACGGACTAAGTAACCCAGCTATGCGTTTTCAAAAATAAGGTTTCTTGTCGCTATGCTAAAAGCAAGATGTCATAACGCAAGAAAATATATGCAAACATTTTACTGTCAAGGTTTTTTCTCTTAGCAATAAGAAGGCATCATATAAAACTTCAAAGAGTAGTTTTAGAGATGTGTTTGAGGCCGATGTTTTATGTTACGATAAAACTATTTCAACTAGTTTTCCTATAATTGAAAGAAAGCGCTTGACGTTGATGTTGACGCTACATTGCCATAAGAGACGGTCCAGCTTCAGTCTTGAATTTGCTTTGTTATCAGAAAAATATCCGTAAAGCTCATGAGAAGAAGTCTTTGTTACTTGTATATATAACTGAAAGTTACGAAAGTAAATGGAATAAAATTGACCATCTCTGTTTGTTACAGAACTTTTTTACAGATCGATTGATGTTCTGAAATTATATTGGCAACAGCGAAAAACAAGTTTCGCATCATTTGCATAGAGGTCACCATATGTCCAGTTTGTCGCTTATGTATCTTTAGGTTGTCTCTGAGTTTCACGGATTTTATTTCCTCCATTTCCAAGTGATTAACTGCTGTCCCTAAGTTCCACAATTTTTTTTATCGAGTCGTTTTCAAAGCTTTGTATAAGCTCACACTTTCCTTCAATATCATACCATCTAATTATCGCCCTAAGAACGACATGTTTATTTCACCCATTAAAGAAGTGACAAAATGGATCTTTTAAGACTTAGGAGGCCCATATCGTATTGTAAAACAAAAAACATAGCCCATGTCTTTGTGTCTGTCAAGGGAATTCACTTTCAGTGCTAATTTGAAATTAAACTGAAACCTTGTTTACTGAAATCAACAGCTGGTTGCGACGAACATGTTGTTGTTTAATTATCAAGGTACTGAATTATCATAGAGGATCAGAAAGAAAATTCCCTTTGGAAAGAACCCTTGTCAAGGGAGGGATTGACGCATCTTCAGCGATTAAGTTTTTCGTCTGATTTTTCTGTCAGCTAATCCTCCGTTGGTAAATGAAATAACTAATTTGAAGCCGGAATAAAATATTGAATCTATAGAGAGTAATTATTTTGCAAAAACGAAATTTTTTCCAACCTAAAACGAGGCGGCGTATCTGTGGTGGTTAACTAATTTTTCCTAATCTTTGATATGGTATTTTTAAAAATTGCTTCGTGCGTCAGTGAGCGGTCATTAATATACGATACACACAGGAAGTTTGGAGAGCTGGAAAGATACGCTGGAGTAGCTTAACATGCAACCAAGAGTGATCGTAAGTTCATAAATAATAAATGCTGTTTATGTAGGTTTAACAAGGTGTAGTTTTTAACTCGACTTCGTCACGGGAATTATTCAACAATAATATTATTCACTTCATCTTCGGCAAATAGTTGTGAAATATTTTTATCGAGTGTTGATAGTTTTAAGTATGTATTCCTTCATTTTATTTCTCGATCAATAGATTATCATGTTCAATTTAGCATAATCATATAACTCTGGTTATCGGAGGAGAATGGCAAATCGCTCAGGGGAATTACGACATGAAGAATTCAGTCACTGCTATGTACATGGAAGCGTTGGCAGAGAAAAATTTAGGCGAACTTTGTTATGTAATTTTTTCCAGGACTATCATTTTAAAATTTTTGGCGAAAGGAGGAGAACAAATAGAGAATGTAAAAGAAACAGCGAAAAATTGTTTAAAAAAGTAATTTCCTGCTTTTCTTCTGTTTTGTTTCTCGTTTTGTCCGAGACGAAACGGAGGTAAAAGAGCCACTAAATGTTACTAATGACACTGTTTAATTCAAACATTTTGAAGTAAGTTTGCATCTGTGGCAATGGCTCAACCTTATTCACGCAAATGATATGGACATTTGATTGACACCCAATATCGATCAAACTATGTTGTGTAAACATCGGCCCTCGATGGTTCCATGTTCGAATTATTAGCACTGCGGCACGACGTTCCTTCGCTTCGGGTCGTGTTGCTCAAAGTCTCAAACTTATTCACGGGCGAAGTAACTCGTACTGAAGCCTTGATAGTGAGTGCCTTCTCGCAAGCTAAATAAAGCGGAATTGTTTGTGGCAACATGAAAAAAATAATCTTAAAGATGTCTTTAAATATTTGCCACTCATTCTTATTTCATACGTGATGTTCATCAGTGACAAGTTAGGCACAAAACAAAGGCTTTTTTGACATAACAAACAATTTTCAGGCATATTTCAAACGTGTAAACAATAGTCAGGAAGTTTTTATTTGAGATGTCACGTAGGAAATAGGGTTCCAGAAATCATCGTTGTGCAATTGGCGTGTAAACGAAATATTTTTCTCGTTGCTATCACAGATTTCTACTTTTGAAATATTTGTTATATCCAGTTTAATACTGGTCTGTGATTAAGTTTTCTTCAAGTTTTATTGATCCAATGTCTCCGAGTGATTAAGTGTTCCTAACTTTCGCTCCTTTTTCTTTGAACTCGTTTCATGAAGCTTTTTAGGAATTCAGGATTCACCACAATACAAGGGTGATCTTTGCACTTAATAACCTGCCCAAAAGGGTGACAGTATATTTAAATATATCCCTTAAACTGCTTATGTTGTCATCTCAAAAGTGACCAAAGAGAGTTTCTTTATCATATCGTCAAACAAAAATATTACCGATGTCTATGTGCTTGCCAAAGGAATTAACTTTTAATGCTAATTTAAAGTTAAATTCAACTTAACCTACTGGAATATTAATAAACTGCTGGTTGCGACAGATATATGCTTGTTTAGTTTTAAAGCTGCCGTTGCTACAATGAGTTGAAGAAGAGTAATAATCGCATTTTTCAGTGTTTAAATCACTTCTTAAGAATGTTTAGTAACCATATCTGCTCTTGTAAGAAACATTTTAGATCGAAAATGAAAAAATATAAAGTTCGAATAAAAATTGGCATCAAAGAAGTGAATATTTTGTCTTGTTCTCGCGCGTTTCCCGCAGTTTGTTTGTCTCTAATGTGAGTCCATATTACCACTTTGTGATATTTCCCTTTCGTAATTAGCCTTTGAGTTCTTAATGCGGCTTCTAGACTTAAGCACTTGAAATATATTGCGATACGAGCCAGTCACAGGGACAGTTATAAACTTGAATTTGTTTTTTTTTTGTTTTTTTTGTTTTTAGCTGTAAATGTTCATAATTATGAATTTTGGAGATGTTGTCACTTTAGAAACAATGTGTTATCATTTTTACGAAATTGAAATCGCCGTCCAAACTCTTGTATCGTTGTCTGTCTGTCCGGGGACGAAAAACGGAAAGAAAAAACCTGCCATTACTAATTGATTCAAACATTTAAAATACGTTTGCATCTGTGACCAAACTTAAATTTGAATTGTTTGATGTATTCGCAGATTGTCTCAAATCCAACTTTTCTAAGACCAAATAAAATCGTCAGCTTGAAATTTTTATTTCCAATTTTTCATGGCTATTAATGATACAAGCCTGAACTTCACACGAATGATATGGACACCAGGTTAGCACCCTATCAGTGAAAGTTGATCCAGGTAAAAGAAGATTGTTTGTCGTTCTTATAAAAGAATAATACTACAGATGTCTCTTCATTTTCTACTTATTTCCATTTCATACCTGAGGCACTTCAAAGGTTCAATTTTTGAACACAACTGACAATTTTCTGAAGATTTTAAATGAGTTAACGCTTATGAGGCATTCTCTATGTGTATGAGTATCATTAACTGAATTATGAGGTTTCATTGATCGTGGCTGGATGTGGGCTGTTTAGACGACATATTACTCGTTGCAATCTTAGATAACCTACAAAAAAATTGAAGAAGAGTTGGAACAAAGACGAAAACAATTGAAGAACTGCTATGCTCCCCCTCTTTAGTGGGTGGGCATCAATCAGCATCACTTTGAAACCTGAGGCAAACCACAGCTGCAAATTTCTGATGCATTTTAAATGATTAAACGTTAGTGAGGAAGTTATTATGTGTTTATTAAAGGAGGTTTCAGTTATCATCGTTCGGCGTGTGCTGTTTAGACAAAGTGTTTCTTTTTGCTATAACTGAAAACCTCAGTGCAAGAAAAAGGAAACGAATTCAGAGTAATGCCGACAACAAATTTCAGTAGCGGTGGAACACAGAAGAAAACATTCGATGAACTGTTATGCTCTCCCTCTTTCGTAGGTGGGCTTCAATCAGCATCAGATTCTTTCGCAGTAGTCAATACTTTGCTCTCCATCACAACATTTCTTGGTAATTCTCTCATCCTTGTTGCCCTTAACAAAGAATCTCCCCTTCATCCGGCGTCCAAGTTCTTGTATCGTTGTCTGGCAACAACTGATCTGTTGGTTGGCCTTGCTGCTCAGCCTCTCTATGTTACTTATTGGATGTCCGTGGTTCACGAACACGGCAGTCTTTGTCATTACGCAGCGGAAACAGATATCATAACAAGCTCTGTATTATGTGGAGTTTCTTTGCTTACGATGACGGCAATAAGCGTGGACAGACTTCTCGCCCTGTTGTTGGGCCTGAGATACAAAGAGATTGTAACTTTGAAGCGCATTTATGTCACTGTAGCCACCTTTTGGTTGTTTTGTCTTGTCGCCTCTATATGCGCCATTTTTGATCAGCGTATAATTGTTTTGTATTACTGGATATTGATACCACTTTCACTGCTTATTTCACTCGCCTCGTATACGAAGATTTTTTGCACTCTAAGACATCATCAGGCTCAAGTACAAGATCACGTTCAACAACAGCCGAGGCAACCAAATGCACTGCACATGACACGATACAGGAAGGCAGTGCACAGTGCACTGTGGGTACAGTTAGCATTAGTTGTTTGTTATACACCATTCTTTATTGTAGGAATTGTAGTCACTGTAGGTAAAACATATTCCTCGCATTTAAGCGTCGCATTTGCAATGGCAACTATCTTAGTTTACTTTAACTCGACGTTAAACCCGTTTCTTTACTGCTGGAAGATTAGTGAAGTGAGACGAGCAATGAAGCTGACAATCCGACAAGCACTTTGCTGTCCATGGAGTTAGACCATCCTCGAGTCATACACGATCGTATGAGTACTTTTAGTGCAAAGCTGACCGATAGAGAACGCTTGTCGCTTAAATTTTTGCTCGAGGTCTGTCGATAGTATTTTTTGCTGGTCACTTAAAACAAATAAATGGGAGGCAATGGAGACACGAACCTAAGCTTTTAAAGAGCATTTACATGCTACCGAACTTTATTTTGAATGCATAAATTATTCATCGAAGGAAAATATACGTGCACAAGAGAATATAGTCTCTTACAATCTCTTGACGTAAATAATACTCTCATGAATGTTATTATGAGAAAGCGAAAGAAACAAAATTGCCTATAACAGTTTTTATTAAAGACTGGCTGGAATGCGGTTTCAGATGGTTGCTACTCTGGTGCCGATCGATCCTTCATTGACATTTAAACATTTTCACGGATTACCATGAATATTCTGAATTAATTAGCAATACATTTTACAATGTACAAGTTAACAATCTTTAAATAACTTATATTGAGTTGATCTAGTTCTAAATTTGTTCAATTTCTCGCTAAATAATGGCTCGTCCTTCTCGAACGCACGTGTACGCTTGTTAAAATCCTACTTGTCAGTAAAAATCGAAACAGGGCTCTTGTTTCGAATTCTTGGAGTCTTGGTAATTCGAGTTTTTATTGAACGAATCGGTTGACAATGTTGCATATGTGATGAAAGTTTTAAAAGAAATCTGCCGCAAATGTTTCCATTGAACAGTTTAGTCGACCAAAACGACACAGTGCAGAGGTAGGTAACGAATGATATTGTCTATTGAAGCTAAAGCTTGTTCTAAAGCTGCTAATTAAGAGACAGACCACGTGGGTTTTTCTAAGTGAGCGAGACGCTGAGCGTTTAGTTCGATTTAAAGACGGCATTTAGCGAACATCAACAGATGTTTCAAAACCGTTTGCTTTGAAAAACTGAAAAGCTAAAATGAGTCTGCAGTGAAGACCGTCAAGCGAATTAATCCTTTGAAAACAATATCAGAGCATTGGATAAAACTTAAAAAGTGGTTTAAGAGTGGTCGTCTGTGAAAATCGAGCGGAGGTGTTGAAAATGAAAAAATTGAAATTTTTTCAAACTTTGTCAGAACATAGGTATAAATGGCCTTAGTTATGGAAAAATATCAAAAATGCCGAAAAAAAATTATGTTGGGAGAACGGTGGCATTTTGTGTTTTGGGGGTTCATAACCGTGTTTTCCCAGTGAAATAGTGCACCTCAAGATAACGGCCAAAAAAACTTATTTCGCCAGCAATTCGGAAACAACATAACAATTCTAAAACAAGAGATATTTTTCAAAGCTTCTGAAGTATTTTTTCCAAAATTCCTTAAAAAAACGATTTTTTTATGAATTTTCTAATTCGGGTGAAACTTCATCCATCAAAACATAGCTCAACTTTGGCGACTAAAATCGGCCATTGTCACATGGCTCCATAAACTGACCATGAGACAATAATCATTGTCAAGAACAAGGCTTCTTCTTTTAGAAACTGCTATAAATTTTTGGGCTATTTAAACCACTAATTTTTAGAGCGATTTATATAAGCGTATTTGAGCTCAAGAGGCGCTTTACGTGACCAACGTGACTTGCACGTCATATTAAGAAAAACATTACCAAAACACTCGAATTCCCTCTTATATCATATAAAAACTTCGAAACAGGTCTCTTTCATATTAAATATACATATGATTTTCTCCTGAAGCCAAAAAGTCAAGGCAATCTGGGCAATCTTCGATAGTCTAGTATATGCAAATTGCTGGTTTATGTTGTTACCACGGTCATATTCGTAACTAATACCAACCCAACGATAACAAAAACTTTTTTAACATCAGAAGGAATTGCCCAGGCTATAATTACACAAAACGTTACTTTTAGAAGTGGTTTCCATGCCAAGAGTACGCACTTTAACCCGCTTCACCGTTTTCAAAACTTATCCATGCTACCATTTCTCGCCACTGCAGTGCGATCGATGGTATGTGATTGCGTTACACACAGGAAGTCCATTAAGTGAGAATGATACAGAAGATGACCAACGTTTTTAACAGAACAAGGTTGGTCTTTATAAAATCCTTTCGATCTAAAACATGTTTATGTAAACGTGAGGTTTTCACTGTCAATTTTTTTTTTATAACAAAGCTACAAAGGGATAATGTCAAGGCACTTGGAATAATGTTGGTGTCCAGGAGTCATTACTTTCTGAATGCGTAGACTATGGTCACTTCCAGCTGGAAAGTTCCTATTTTTCTTTGCACGTACGCGACTTTATCAGTTCATTGATCAGACCAACGTATGGCGCTTTTCGTGTAGCAGGAAGGGAATCAATTTCCAATTGGAAATATGTGCATATATCTTGAAGGAAAGAAATAATGAAACGAGTAAGCTTGTTCGTGGCATACAGTTGACAGAGGTTGTATGTGTCATACAAAAAGGGATGACTAAGCTGGCACTCTTGCATTATCTTGTCATGAGCTGAGGAGTATGCCATTTCTTCATCAATGGCTGGTACATCGATCTCTGCCACCGATCCGCCTGTTTGATCTTTGCTGCTGACCTTGAGAAATACGACTTTATCTGCTGTGGTGATAAAAACTCGCCAACAGCAAATCGACGCTCTCCGTTTTCATTTTTAGCGCGACGCATATCACTCGCAACTTGGGATGGATCTTCTTTGTAACCAGTCTCCTGGCCAAGTTTGAACTTTTCATCGAGATAATTCTTTTGGTTTTCGTTGAAATGCTTTGATTTCTTAGACGCCCTCAGTGCCCAGCCTTCCGAAAGTTTTGTAGAGCTTGACATCAGTACAGTAAAGCTGGCCATTTGAGGTTGTGTGCTTGTTCCTTCTGTCAGCTTTTGCACATTGAGTATCTTTGCTTTTATCAATGAGGGTAGTTTTCTCTTCTACTATCCTG